GAAAGGTGAGAGAGGTAGGGAAGAGAGAGAAAGGTGAGAGAGGTAGGGAAGAGAAAGAAAGGTGAGAGAGGTAGGGAAGAGAGAAAGGTGAGAGAGGCAGGGAGGAGAAAGAAAGGTGAGAGAGATAGGGAGGAGAGAGGAGAGAGAAAGGTGAGAGAAGTAGGGAAGAGAGAGAAAGGTGAGAGAGGTAGGGAGGAGAGAGAAAGGTGAGAGAGGTAGGGAGGAGAGAGAAAGGTGAGAGAGGTAGGGAAGAGAGAAAGGTGAGAGAGGTAGGGAGGAGAGAGAAAGGTGGGAGAGGTAGGGAGGAGAGAGAAAGGTGGGAGAGGTAGGAAGGAGAGAGAAAGGTGGGAGAGGTAGGGAGGAGAGAGAAAGGTGGGAGAGGTAGGGAGGAGAGAGAAAGGTGGGAGAGGTAGGGAGGAGAGAGAAAGGTGAGAGAGGTAGGTAGGAGAGAGAAAGGTGAGAGAGGTAGGGAGGAGAAGAAAGGTGAGAGAGGTAGGGAGGAGAGAGAAAGGTGGGAGAGGTAGGGAGGAGAGAGAAAGGTGAGAGAGGTAGGGAGGAGAAAGAAAGGTGAGAGAGGTAGGTAGGAGAGAGAAAGGTGAGAGAGGTAAGGAGGAGAGAGAAAGGTGAGAGAGGTAGGGAGGAGAGAGAAAGGTGAGAGAGGTAGGGAGGAGAGAGAAAGGTGAGAGAGGTAGGGAGGAGAGAGAAAGGTGAGAGAGGTAGGGAGGAGAAGAGAAAGGTGAGAGAGGTAGGTAGGAGAGAGAAAGGTGAGAGAGGTAAGGAGGAGAGAGAAAGGTGAGAGAGGTAGGGAGGAGAGAGAAGAGAAAGGTGAGAGAGGTAGGGAGGAGAGAGAAAGGTGAGAGAGGTAGGGAGGAGAGAGAAAGGTGAGAGAGGTAGGGAGGAGAGAGAAAGGTGAGAGAGGTAGGTAGGAGAGAGAAAGGTGAGAGAGGTAGGTAGGAGAGAGAAAGGTGAGAGAGGTAGGAGGAGAGAGAAAGGTGAGAGAGGTAGGGAGGAGAGAGAAAGGTGAGAGAGGTAGGGAGGAGAGAGGAGAGAGAAGGTGAGAGAGGTAGGGAGGAGAGAGAAAGGTGGAGAGAGGTAGGGAGGAGAGAGAAAGGTGAGAGAGGATAGGGAGGAGAGGAGAGAGAAAGGTGAGAGAGGTAGGAAGGAGAGAGAAAGGTGAGAGAGGATAGGGAAGGAGAGAGAAAGGTGAGAGAGATAGGGAGGAGAGAGGAGAGAGAAAGGTGAGAGAGGTAGGGAAGGAGAGAGAAAGGTGAGAGAGGTAGGGAGGAGAGAGGAGAGAGAAAGGTGAGAGAGGTAGGGAGGAGAGAGAAAGGTGAGAGAGGTAGGAAGGAGAGAGAAAGGTGAGAGAGATAGGGAGGAGAGAGGAGAGAGAAAGGTGAGAGAGGTAGGGAGGAGAGAGAAAGGTGAGAGAGGTAGGGAGGAGAGAGAAAGGTGAGAGAGGTAGGGAGGAGAGAGAAAGGTGAGAGAGGTAGGGAGGAGAGAGAAAGGTGAGAGAGGTAGGGAGGAGAGAGGAGAGAGAAAGGTGAGAGAGGTAGGGAGGAGAGAGAAAGGTGGGAGAGGTAGGAAGGAGAGAGAAAGGTGAGAGAGATAGGGAGGAGAGAGGAGAGAGAAAGGTGAGAGAGATAGGGAGGAGAGAGAAAGGTGGGAGAGGTAGGGAGGAGAGAGGAGAGAGAAAGGTGAGAGAGGTAGGGAGGAGAGAGAAAGGTGAGAGAGGTAGGAAGGAGAGAGAAAGGTGAGAGAGATAGGGAGGAGAGAGGAGAGAGAAAGGTGAGAGAGGTAGGGAGGAGAGAGAAAGGTGAGAGAGGTAGGGAGGAGAGAGAAAGGTGAGAGAGGTAGGGAGGAGAGAGGAGAGAGAAAGGTGAGAGAGGTAGGGAGGAGAGAGAAAGGTGAGAGAGGTAGAAGGAGAGAGGAGAGAGAAAGGTGAGAGAGGTAGAAGGAGAGAGGAGAGAGAAAGGTGAGAGAGGTAGGGAGGAGAGAGGAGAGAGAAAGGTGAGAGAGGTAGGGAGGAGAGAGAAAGGTGAGAGAGGTAGGGAGGAGGGAGGAGAGAGAAGAGAAGTGGGAGAGGTATGACGTTAGAGAGAGAAAGAGAGGGGGAGGGGGAGGGGGGATGAAGGCCGGGCTATAACAAGGTGATTTCCCGGAATGTTTCTGTTCCGTCTCTCGCTCTTCTTTTCTTTTCTTTTTCTTTTATTTTACTCTCCTTGTTTTTCATTTATCCCCTGTTAATTCGCTTACTTATCTTTGCGTTCTCGCCTCCTCGTCTGATCATTTTACTTTCCTCCCAATTCTGCTGGCATTTTGTCGTTGCTTTGTCACTCGCTTGATTTCACTCACTCTATCTTACCCTTCTTGTTATGCCAAGATTTGTATCTCCTGTTCTTGTTTTGGCATCGGTTTCCTTATCCTGGCCTTTGTTTTTGGATTTGTGCCTTTGTCATGTCCTCTCTTTTCTATTTAATTTTCTTAATCTTGCCCTCTGTTC